GCTCCCCTGCGCTCGGGCTCCTCTCCCAGGCGCAGGGACAGGGGGACCATGCGCAAGTCCCTCCCTGGCAGTACGGGCACAGTTGCGCTACAGTTTACATCTGCATATATCTGAACGTCACAGACCCTGCATACATTGAGTAATACCTTACTTTTCCTGAGACAAAACTAATATCCTACTTGGGCAAAAGTTAAATAATTGGGTCAAATTAACATTTTGGTGACAGTCTCAGATTCTACGTGAATACAACTGAACAGGTTGTTGGCAGGAGCTCTGCTGCCATAAGTCAGTTTATACTGGTGATGAATTTGCTCCCAAGAATTTCAGGACGTGTTGGCAAACTAATGAGGCAGATGCATGCAAGCAGAAAACTGGTCCAAATTCAGCACAGCTCTTAGAGGGCTCCTGGGAACCCCTGGAGAAAATTCCACCATCAAATAACAAGAAGATCGCATGGATGTTACTCTTGCCCCCAAAGTCTTCCTCTTTGACACTGAAATCATAGAAGACTTGTTCCAGTGCTCAACTTAAAAAAAACCCTCCCCAAAATAGAAGTGCAGCTCTTCATACTGAAGAAGATCAGGTTTCAGAAACTCCATTAGAACAATCCCAGTCCATTGAGAGAGCTAAGAGAAACTATAACTATACTTTTCTCATTCTTACATTCATCTAGAGAGAAGACTGGGTGCTTTCAGAGCTATTTCTCTATTTTACATAAACAATGAATAAAATACACAGTGCTGAAGCAGAGGCTGGAGACTGGGAGTCCTTGATTTGAAAAGACTATCTTAGCCTTTCAGCTGAAGTCATTGCACGTTCCCTCTGGCTTGATCGTCATTGAATTATTAAACCATCCTAGCACTGCTAAACAGGAGCAAAGGAAAATTTAGGTTTATACCTCTTCCCCTTTGGTTTTTACAGATTGTAACTTATTTTCTTTATCACATGAGTAAATGGAAACCTGGATAAAGTCCTCAGACCTTTGCAGAACACCACCAATCAATGTAAGGTGTGATGAGTTTGGTGAAACACAGTGTTAAGAAGGTTCTGCACATACCTTAACCAGTTCTTTAGCACTCTCCAAGACTGCAGTGAACATTGGGAATGAGCAATGTGATTCACAGAACAGCTTTGTCTGCTGCGCCACCACCCTTCAGGGCTCTACCAGCACCTGTGACCTCAGTAAGCAGATGGGCTGTGAAGAAGACACCTTCAGAAAGTTCATTAATGTCTGTAATAAAGTAAATGCTTGCCACACCATAAGCATATTTTTCCTCTTTTAAGATGCAATAACCACTGTTCAGAATACAGCTTTGAAAACCAGTGTGAGGCAGCTTTTAAAGGGAAATTTCTAGACAGAAGCCTTACCAGAACTCCCTGGGAAACTTTTATCGCAGCTCCAAATCCAAGCATGAAGGCACACTGTTGTTCAGCTTTGCAACAAGTTATAGGCTTTTCAAGAGGATATAGAAGATTCCTATGTTTAGGAAAAAAAACACAACTGTGAATCAATTTTAAGGAGAAACTGAGCAGGAAAACTCCTCACAAAAAAAATAAGAACAAACAATACATGTCTGCCCTGGAGTCTCCTTCAGACACCAAAGTGAGGTTAATGCAAACCTGGCCAAGCAAGACAAAGAACTGGGAAAGCCTCACAATTTCATTGCAAACATTTTTTTACCCCCAAGAGACTCCGGAGAGAATGAATTTGAATTCGTTCAAAGTTGTCTCATTTTCCCAAAGCACCTCAGGATTCAAGATCAGATACTGTAAGATTGGTCTCAGACAGAAGTGGTTTTAATTTTATAGGAATTGACAGCCAAAAGATTTTGATTTAGTTTACTAACCAGATACAGAAATAATGGCAATTGAATAATTTCATTGTTATGGAAAAGTAGAACTTGTTTGAAGTTTATTTTCAAACTATGTGTGGCTCTTCTAAAAGAAGTGCAATTAGCCATTGTATAAACTCTATCTTTTTGTAGATAAATAGGTTTCTATGTGTCTAAACTCTTTGGAGTCCTTGCAAAAGAGGGAGAACTGTCTCTCAAACCTCCTAAAGCATGTCATTATTTTTTTGCCTTCTAGAAATTGGTAAATTCACATATGTGCTTAACTAAAAGCACGTACAATCTAATAATTCAACCACAGGCAAAAGAAAGTGTTGGATTTAAGAGCCTAAATCACTCCAATCTGTATTCAGCCTGTCAAA